CTTTTTCGTGTACCTAACCTCGTAGAATAATATGCACGATTTTGTGGTTCCCTTCCATGCTATTACGTGGGTTAGACAAAGGCGAACAATCAAAGTCTGATTGTTTGTCCTTGTTTAACCAACGTGAGTAGCATTACTGACAATACGAAAACAATACTAACAACACGATAGCAATGCTAACAATAAAGTGTGTAATATTGCCATAATTAGCACACACGCGCGCACACGCACGCACACACACACACACACACACACACACACACACACACACACACACACACACACACACACACACACACACACACACACACACACACACACACACACACACACACACACACACACACACACACACACACACACACACACACACACACACACACACACACACACACAATCACTGTATATTTTTTTAGTAATGGTTGATCCCTCGGATTTGTTAAAATATCTACCCTTATATTTTCAATTACTGCCACATATATCCTAGGCATTTTACTTTAATGCTAATTATTATTGAATATTTTAGTCACATCGTAAAAAATAAAAATAAAACATAATCTTTTTAGAATATCAATATGTGATTGATAAACAAGTAATAAATATAATGATATCAATTATGTAGGTATTATATTTCTCTCAAATTACGGAAACTTGTTCCTTTTAGTTAACAGAATTCCTTTTGGATAACAGACCACTAGCATAGCACATTCACTTGATAAAATTCTTTAAACGAATATTTCCTCGGAAATGTGTGTGTGTGTATGTGTGTGTGTATGTGTATGATTAGAAATAAATAATAGTATGTAGAATAAATAAAACAGACAGTAAAGTTTCTCGTATAGTTTTTCTTTAGAAGTAGTGGTACTGATCTATTCTTAAAAGTAAGTAATGCTTTCAAACTTTTTAATGGTAGTATACGAATATAAATTGAAAATTAACATCTCTAGTTTTAATTTATAATGATTTATAAATTACATAATACTTATGCGTCACAACTTAAAAACTAAATTAGCGCAGCTAATTAATGAAAAATAATAACAGATGAATAATTAAGATGTATAATTAAAATATGATTGCGTCAAATATATATAGGGTGTTTAATAAGTAACGATAAAACTCGCACAGGGATAGAGCAGACTAAACTAAGTCGAAAAGTTCTCTACCATTTTACAATATAATTTTATAATAAAATTATGTAGTGTCAAATTGACACGATATAGTATCAAATTTAACTATCGTTTTGGTAAAAAATAACGACATGTTTAGTAGCAGCAGTGGCAACTCACATTAGGTTAAATTTGACACTATAGATTTAACAGTGTATACCTCTTGATATTTTTGCAATATGTTATCAGTTTTCTTGTATTTACACGAAAGGGCTTTAATAAAATAATTTTTCTTAAATTTATGATAACGTATTAGATATATTAGATAGATAGTTTTTTTACTCTTTTATTCCGTGCTTTTTCTCAGAGAATATATAAAATTAAAATTTTATGATTATAATTAAATGAGGTATTAACGTTTTTATTTATAATGTAAAGAAAGAAAATTAATATAATGTTTATAATTTAATGATAAATTACAAATACATTGTGAAGCTTTTATTATATATACAATAATATTTATGCTCTTTATTTTAAAGTATGTTTTCTATCAAGAAAACTCGATAACATATTGTAGTTTCATTCTAATGAATGGAGCTTCCTTTTGGAAAGCTCTACCTATTACAAAAGTAAATAACGTAAATCTTTTATAAACCATGTTTTATATAACATATTAATCTAATATTATTAGTAATTTTAATGCGAAATTGTGCGACGTGATATTAATATGAAATATTACAACTGCCTCAAATATTTGTAAGAAGAAGGAGATACTTTACAATCACAGTAAATGTTTGTAGTTAATTAGTAACGAGATTGATAGTAGTCGATTAATAATGCTGAGAATGAACTTACGGGTATATATTAAAGACGAAACAAACTCGATGTAAAACAAAGAACAGTTGATGCCAAGCACGTTAAGATATGAATGAGCAGCACATGCGTAGTTAAATAACTCGCAGTTCTTTCATTTTTGAGCATCAGAAAGAATGTGACAATACGCCTCACGTGATAAGAACGTAGTAATACGGTGGCCAATCAATCTCGCGTATTTTTAAGAATAGTAGGTAGTTCGGAAAAAATAATTGAATTACTGTGTCGTTTCTTATCGCATAAGACATGTTACCCGAATATAAGAATCATTCTATTTTACGGAAATGTAGCCTAAAAAAAAAATGAAAATGTATATGGTATGAATAGAGGAAATGTAATAAATATTAATAAAAATGATATTGATAGAAATGAATATTAATAGAAATTTGTGTGTAAATCATAAGAACCGAAAAAAATTCGAAAGAGAGAGAGAGAGAATCGACTTGATTATAATCTGGTATTATAAATTTTGCAAAATTTTGGTGCAGTTTATAGTTTTGATTTGATTAAAAGAAAAAAGCTATTAGTTTTCGAGATTTGGATCTCTGTTGTTAAATTTATAACAATTATATTAATTTGTATTATTTTTTATCATTTCTGCAGGTCGTTACTGCTCATACTTTGTATGTCGCTAATTAACTAAAAGCATATAAAACACAATTGAGTTAATTTAAAACAAGGAATGTATTGATTTAAATTTAGGTTATATTATTTATTAATTATAAGAGTGCATGCATTAATATGTTATTTACTTCAAAAATAAGCAATTTAATCACATAATGGATTGATTTATTTTGATATTAAGATCTCTTTAATAGATGTCTATTGAACATCAAAAATTTGTGATATTATTTCAGTAGTTTAATTCTCTGCGTTTTTAAGTCCGGAAAAATTAATTCGGCGCGCAGTTCAAATTACTACAAGGATGGTATATATGCATGCTTGTACACATATAGTATATAAATTCACACGTTGAATTATTTAAGCATTAAAAATTCTGCAGTTTCGATCGTTATGGCCTTTATTTTCTATTTTCTATTAGTTTCACGTGTACACGGAAAAACGGCTACTGTTGTCACGACCAATAGTCGCCCATCAATACATTTTTTGATTATAAGAATTATAGTACGATTGTGATAACCGTAGGATAATCGTAATCTTAGCTGTAAAGATATGTCCATCTTACGGTTATCACAATCAAATGCCGAAGGTACTGTAACTTTCAAGCCTTATAATTTAAAAAGTACTTAATGAAAAAATATTTTGTTATAGTGTTTTAAAAAGCTCTCGAGATAAGCTACAAGAATATGCAATAAAAACTTGACTTGACTTTGGCGACGCCACTCAAGGTCAAACTAATAAGATCAATAAATAGATCTTTTTAAATCATATAACTTTTGTCAAAATATTTTCTCGATTGGATCTTATTCTGCGAAGATAAAAGGGTGGTACGGGTGGTCTGAAACACTCAGTATAATTTCGCGACACACATATTCTCTCTGTATTTATATATATATATATATATGTATATTATACATTTAGTAGAATTTATCACGCGAAATTACATTACGTATCGACAACTTAGAAATTATAAATACATAGGTATGTGATTACATTATTATAAAGCGGAAAATTTACAATCTTAGAAAGTCTTATATTTAAATCCTTTGTATAACATAGCTAAAACAATTATTGAAATAAAAAAAATGCATTTTATAAAGAACGAAGAATACATTCATGATTTTTTACCAGAATTTCAAGATAATCTTTTTCATAAAAAATGTCAAATGTTGCAAAAAAGCTGTTTTTTGCATATTATATTGTACCTACGTCAATTATTTCAAAAATCTGACGTGATGGAGAAATTTGGTTTGCGGTATCTCGCGTGCGTTTTCAGCATTTAAAAATCCGAACAAAAATCTATAAGAAATGCCTTATTGGGGGTAATTTCTTGCTATATATTTGTACTATCCATAGACTTCTATAAGTAGACTGCTGACTTCGCCGCCATGTTTGAAGATAGGGTTGGGCAACGCCGTGTTTAATTTCTTGCACTCACACATATATAAATCATACGAATAATTACTGCTCAGTTTACATCGTATACTCACAAATTGGACGCATACATGTGCTTACGGGAAACAAAACAAAGATAGCTCGGAATCAGGTTCGTCTCTTGCTATCACATTAAGTCAGCAGAGTCTACTTATAAAAGTTTGATGTTATCTGAACTTAGGAAATAACTAATTGATAAAAATAATGGATTATAGACAAATGATCTTCTTGCTTTTTTAATCCAGTAAATTATCTTTGTTAAGCATAATTATGTAGTTATATAATATGGCCAGAATAATGTGAGAGCACCTGGAAGATAATAGGAAGTAGAAAAAGACCAGTTGTTTAATCAGAGAGAATTTAATTTTATATATAAAACGTAATTTAAGTATCTTTAATAAAGAAATGAGAAAAATTTTTGGTTCATTTGTGCATAAAATTGTGGAAATTTTAGTATATAATGACATATTTTAATTGATTTTTTTATACAAATAAATAGAATTTAATGTATTTGTATTAATAACATAATTTTTTATTTAAATATTAAAATATTTATTATATGTATGAGTAAATCAAGAACAAATGTTGTGAGCGTATTTTGCACATTGTTGTGTTCTAATTATTATAAAATAAACTTAATATTTGTGCGAGTATTGCTGATATTTTTATTTTTTATATGCGAAGAAAAGTTAAAATAATGTTATTAAATTAACTGAACTGATCTATGATTTTCGTCATCGTTTTATCTTTTCTCATTTCTGGTTCTAAATTATCATACACGCCATTAAACTTAAATTTTTTCGCTGATTTATTTGGTTGGTTACAATTAGCTATTTTTTTGTAACCATGTTTACAATTGTTTATATAAATTATACTAATAATATATACATTATTAACAAAAATATATGTTACTTATCTTAATTGGATCTTTCTCATAATTACATTAATTTATTACTATTCTATATTTTGGAAGAGTTAGAAAATTTGCTATGTTTAAGTATATTTTCATTCGTGTGTCTCTTGTTGTGACCTTTTAGTAGCACTTTTCGCAGTCATCATATCTTGAATTTCCTGTTAACATCAACGATGGTTAACATGCAACATTTACTGAACTCAAAATAAAACTTTCTATATCTCGTAATGAAATAACATGCAATATGTGATTGAATTACCTGCAGCGTTTTTCCTTTTGTCTCTGGCAGCATAGTGAGTGCATATATTAAGCTCATCATGATGATCATTGCATATATCCAGAAGACATACTTTTCGCTGATGAGATCTACCAATGGCTGATATGTCCTTGAGGCGAGGAATGCGAATGCCGCTGACGTAATACTTCCAAAGAATCCAGCCAAGCTTTTTAGATCAGAAGGAAATATTTCGCTTAAGATTGTAATGGGCACCGGTACAAGTCCGAAGTACATCATCATGATCAACACTAACGATAGAATAATCAACCATTCGAGATGATTGGAATCGTAGCCGTAGTCTAACAAAAAGAAATGTAAACCTAACAACACCATGCCGATCATCACGCCCAAAGACGAGATTGCTAATAAGAGTCTGCGACCGTAACGATCGATAGCAAATATGCCCATCCAGCCAATAATTATACCTGTAATAATAATAATAATAATTGGGGGGGGGATAAAATAATCTATTTCTTAAGGGGATCCTATAAAGCAAAGCTCGGACTCCGACAAAATCACTAAATGTCGCTGTTTTTCCATCGACATGTTTTTATATACTATCACACCAATATCTCACGCAACCTATGATACATTCAGTCGCACGTCGTGTCAATTTTCGTATAACAAATTTGTCGCGATAAAGCGTCTAAATGTAATTTTAAGAACTCGATATTTGTTCGTGCAAACTACGTGTTTGTGGATCACTATTTCGTAAGTACAGGTTATAAAACTTTCGTATCAAGCAAATATTGTCATGACTTGACAGCTTGAGATGCCATGTTACACTAAGAAATGATAAAAAATATATCAATTTCGAAATTTTTAATCGTTCTCTCGGCATAAACTCCACCTCACAAACACGTATTAATGCGTATACTTTAATCCTGGAAAAAGATTTTCAAGTCTGTGAAAGAGAAAAAAGTATTTGTTATATAAAAATTATATGATTTAGTCGGTAATATAGGCGGCTTTAGGATCCCCTTAAACGACTTTAACAGAAATAAACGGAGTTTGCTTAAAATTAGTATAGGGTAACTTCGATATATACGCCGCACATCTAACAAAAACTTAATTTATTAAGTATTATTTACTATGTTTAAGTTAAATGAATTATATCAGTAAAAATTTTGTACTGTCTAGCATCAAATTTTACACCGCGTATAGCGTTAAATTGACACTACATAGTGTCAAATTTAACTATTATTTTAGTATAAAATAACGATATATTGAGTGGGAACAGTGGCGACTTAAATTAGTTTAAATTTGATGACTACAGATTTAACAATGTATAACAGAATGATTGTGTGCACATTACCCCCACTCCTTCTATTTTTTCTGACTTCTGCGACATAAAAGCCATGGCACATAGAAAAACTTATAAGATTGAAGGCTTAATTAAGCAATAAAGAAATCAACATGTTGGATTCGCTACTGCTTACGTTATGGTTTTACAGTATCTAACTGTGATCGATCAATTCCCCGACTAGAAATTTATTCAGTGGTCCTAGCTAGGTTGACCTTATTAACCATCAGGTCCTGTTAAGGTAAGGTTTATTGGGACCTGATCAATCATGTAACGCAGCACATTAGGCAGGACCTTATCGGGATAGCCTTATCAGGTTTATATCGGGTTCATTATTAAATCCTTATTAACGCGCCACAGCATACCCGATTAGAAATTTATCCAAGGATTTTAGCAGATCCTAATCAGGTTGACTTGGCTAGGACCTGCTAAAATCACTGGATAAATTTTTAAGTCGAGTTCAAATGCTATTAATTTAGCATCACATTCCAAAAGAAGCAAAAAACATATATTTCAGAGGCCCAGAAGACATACTCTGAAGGAACTTTATAATCTCTCTAAGAGATTATCCAAATTGATTTGCCTACGCCTTCTTATAGAACTTGTAGACATTTTCTTCTTACGAGTAACACGTCCATCTCGTGGCGTGGCTGCGTACTAGAAACGAGATCAACCATACTCAAACCTGACGAGGATTTTCTTAGATGTACCTTATTCAGGATTATCTTAGGTCAACCAAACTAGGTCCTTATAACATATAAAGCAATTATAACCTTACAAAGGCCAACCATATTCAAACCTGACGAGAACCCCCTTAGGTGTACCTTATTCAGAATTATCTTAGGTCAACCAAACCAGGTCCTTATAACATATAAGGTAATTATAACCTTACAAAGGTCAACCATACTCAAACCTGACGAGAACCTTCTCAGGTGTACCTTACCTTAGGTCAACCAAACCAGGTCCTTGTAAAATATAAGGTAAACCTGACAGTACCCGAACGTAGATTCTAGTCGGGTCGTTTGTTGTTTAAATTTTATGTCTTGAGTTTTTCTATTTGCCATGGCCTTAAATCCTCGCGCAGCATAAATATCGGAATTACCTTATATAATAATTAAGACAATTAACAGTTAAGACACAAGACAGTTCTGTCAATAAAAGATAATACGGAATGAAGATGTCATTATCATTAGTATTGAAAATCGAACATACTGACTGCACCGATGATGATTACTACAGTTGAAGGCATGATTGATATCACCTTTCCTTTCTTTACAATAATTTCCGTATAAAATACAATAGTATTTAGTCCACTCATTTGCATAAACATGAAAATTACTATCATCATTATGAAAGAGCGTCATTTTTCGGCTCTTTTATTTGCTCCAATCGTTCCCTCATGTTCATTGTACGCGTTGATTTCACGAAAAGTTCTACGGATTCTATTTCGTTTTTTATATCAGGTTTTCGATAATACCATCGAATGGCTTGTTCCGCTCTAGAATTATGAAAATAAAACATATAAAAGTATCTTGTTAATTCATCCAAAATTTTCAAAAAATTTACATCGAGAATGTATCTACCTACATTCCTCAATTATCATAATCGTTTTATGATTATCGATTTTATTTTTTATACACTTACAATGCTTAATAATTATACTTTTTTGTCGTTATATTTTTTACATATCTCTTATTTTTTTCATATCCTTTTATTTTTTACATAATAAATATAAATTGTGCTTGAGAATGTGTTTCACAAAAAAAATGTATAGATGCAGTCACTTTTATTTAAATCAGTATAGATCAGTTCATAAAAAAAATATAAGATGTATTTTTTAAATATTATTAAATATAAAATTAAATATTTTTTCTAATAGATAATAGAATTTAAGACACTTAATAACAGAATAAATTACAGAATAACAGAAGAAAGTAAACATTTTTTTTAAGTTTAAGAAAATTAAACATGAAAAAAAATTCAAAATCATATTTTTGCATGATTACTAATTTCATGATATTAATGCATTTTATATAATTTTTGGATTTTGTAAAACAGTTGTATTTTTTCATCTTATTATTTGAACGAAAAAAATTTTGATAAGAATAAAATATTTGGATATATTACATTAATTTTATCCATATACAAACACGGTTTATTAAAAATAAAATTTTTAAAATCGCATTTTTGGAAAATTGGTTGGTCATATCTTTTTGTGTGGCGGTATGCAATGACAACTTTTTCTGTGTCATATTTTATTTATATATCGAAAACTGTTTTGGATGAATTTAATTCCAATGTGGAATCTTATAGTGAACATACAATATCTTATTTGTTGAATAGTTCGTTTTTTGTATGCTCGAATTATCTTGCTACTTGATTGTGTATTTGCTTCTTCGTATTTAGTCTGTTTAAGCCCGACTGCACCAACGTTACTTTGGCAAGGCTTAAAACCTCTCTGGCTCTCCCTCTTTCTCGGCTTTAAAGAGAAAAAGTAAGAACTTTAAGCCTCGCTCAAAGTTAAAGCAACATTTTGGTGCAATTGAACTTTATTTAAATAAACGGTCTTTTTAGTCTTCATATTGATAAAAAGTTAAATACAGCTGTTTTCCTGTCCGCATGAATTATTTAATTGTGCACTTGAAAGGCCTTTTATCAAAAAGCTAATATGAATCAGAATGAAACATTTTTATACTTGATACGAAACATACATCTTTTAAGATCTACTTAATACTTTTATATATAACATTGAAAACATTAATTTGTATAAAAAATTACATAGCTTTATTTAAGAAAATTTAAATAACAAGAAGAATAATTTAAATAACATGAATTTAAGAGAATTGAGTTATCAGTATAAAAATAAAACAAACTTTTGAAAACACTTTTTAAACTTCTTATGTTTCTTTTCTATTTAATATCCATATTAATAATGATAAATAATGTACTCTACTGTTATTAATAAAGTTCATGTTTATTGCCATAAATTATTTAACGTTTGCAGTTTATGCACTACATTATTTGAGAATATGATGTACTATATTATTATTGAACACTAAACTATCGAAATATTAGTGCATTACTGAACATTGAACGAAATCCGTTGCTTTAACCGAATTTAAAACGACATTAATTTTCTTTTTTTATCACATTATATAGATTATTTAAATAAGATATTATTATTGAATAGAAAAAAAACATTACTTTTTTTTTTAAATAAGATCGTAACTCATTAAGCATAACAATATAGTCAGACATAACTTTGAATATCTGTTTTGTAAAGCAATTGAACAAACAAAATAATCGTATTCACCTCTTAGTGTCATTGTGTCGTACGTAATAATACGGCGATTGCGGCAGGAATGGAAAAATAACCATGTGGCATAGCATCATTACCAAGCTGATGATACTGAAATTCATCATTGACATGTTGGGACCCATTATATTACCAAAGAATATGCCTAAGGGAAATCCGTTCATAATCAGACATGCCAAAGCGCCGCGGATTGATGGCGCCGAAATTTCACCGATGTAAAGCGGATAACTGCTGACTATCATTCCCATTGCTGTACCTGATTAAGATGATGTAATTTTGCAACAGACGTAAAATTACATAGATTCCGGATTAAGTTTATAGTTAAGTGCGCCTCTGTAATTTGGACGCTTGTATAACGGAATACAAAAGATCCGGATTGGACTCCCGACCGAGATAATATTTTTCACAATAAATTTATTTACAGTTTTTCAGCACATTAACATCTTTCTAATATAATACCGGATTGAGTTATTAAAAAAATTATTAAAAATTTGTTTGTTAATTTAATTTAATTTTGTGATATTATTATAGTAGTTTAATTGCGTTTATAAGTCCGAAAAACTAATTAGACGCGCGGTTCGAATGACTACAAATATTGTATACATGTATGTACATACATATGTAGTATATATATAATTCACATTGAATTATTTAATCTTCCACCAGTGTGGAAGCAGTGGACACAGGGTCTCGCGAGACCCGCGAGTTAGAGTTGTTTACTCTTTTCAATCTTTTCAACTGTGAAGAAAATGAATATTTGAAATGGATATTTGTTTCTATGATAAATATTTGTTTTTATTTCTCTTTCTATATATTTTATAATAAAAAATTGTTTTTCAAACGTTTTAAAACAATTTCATTCTTAGGTCACTTTTGACCCTGCGTCCGCCGTGCGTGCAAGACATCCGTGCGTATAATGACATCCGCTGTCTGAGGGTTAAACATTAAATCCAGCTTTGACCGTTATAGGCTTTAATATTCTTATACTTGTTATATATTCACATTTATGATCTTAATAAATCATTAAATATCATTCTTTAGGGGAAAGTGGGGGAATTGTGCACATCCTGATTTGGTACTTTTCTAGTAGATGAAGACATCACCATGGTGAAATTTTTACGCAGAAGGTCGTCCTCTTAAGATATAACTACAAAAGATACGACGTAAATACGTTGCTAACCAGAGAAATACAAAAAAGTGAAATCACATCTTTTCTTGTTATTTTACATTAAAAAAATAAGGTGGTAAGTCCGTATTTTTAATTTGTTTGTTTAAAGTTGCATATACGTTATTCAAGTACGTTATTATGTGCGTAATTTATGTGCGTCTTTTGAGACGTAATTTATAAGTTTGGTTAGATAGTGTTGAAGTAATCATATTTCATATCGAGTCAGGTCGCGGCGGGCAACTGTGCGCAAGCGTTTTGAAATATATACAATTACCCATCTTCCATATAGGGGAAAGTTGCCGAATGCGTGCCACTTAACCTATTTTTTATTATATTTTCCATTTGGCACTGTTTTGTATGCAAATAAACATTAGAAATTGTAGCTTGAGGTTTTGGACGCTTATTACATGTTTAACTTTCCACCAATAACAAATTAATTTGTTATAAATCTTTTTGTAACATGCTGCA